CCAAATGCTGTAGCAGCTCCTTCTGCAACTTCAGTGGTGCCAACAGCATCAAAATCAGCTACGCTGTGATGCTCCTGGGAGTCGTGGCCAGTCTGATCAGTGTCATCAGGGCAGGATTGTGATGAGGGGTGGGAGAAGATATGACATCCCAAGAACCTACAAGGTATTCCCCAACTGAGAAACCAATATCCTCTGTCCAGTGTCTCCAATGGGGCCTATGCTATCCTGTTTTTTCCAAGTCACTGCTTCAGATCCCATCCACAAAAGGGCACAGCTCCTATTTTTTCCCCTCTATAATTTGTTGTTTTATACTAATTGTCCCTGGGAAGGCTCTTTTGATAGTGTGTTTGTGACAATTGTCAGACAAAATAAAGATTTATGTTATTCTAGAGTGTGTTTGCTATATCCACAGTAAGATCAGCCTGAGAAAACAGCTCTGCCAGAAAGGACTGTAGTCTGAATCTTTACTTTACATTGAATTCCTCTATTTTAGCACCTGGAAGTCTTCTCTTGGCTGCCTTACTCAACTGGCTCAGTTGCATCCAGTAGCTCGAGGCAGACACTCTATAAAGCCTGATCACTCAGTGCTAATGAATGAAGGTGTTAACCTGGAAAGGTCAGAGTGTTTGTGTTGTTCTCATTGCAAGCAAAAGCCAGGATTGTTTTGTAACAGTTAACGCATGTCTGGAGGTTTGCCTGGTATCAGTTGTGCTCCTGGCTGTGCTCCAGAGTCCTGTGATCTCTGCAGGGTGGATGGTTTCAGCCTTTGAAGTTGGTAAAGGGCCCACACCAAGATGCTGGAGATGTCCAAGATGAGGATGGTGCTGCTAGGATCTGGCCTCATGGAAAAAGGAACCTCTGTGCCTGCTTGGAGAAGATGCTGTTGAGTGCTTGCTCTTGACTTCCCTGCAGGGACAGGGGGAACAGGCAGAGAGAGCTTGGAAGAGGCAATGGGTGTCTAATCTGGTGGGGAGGTCTCTGCTACTTCTCTTTCCTCCATCACTGCTGCATTTCCAGGCTTGGGGGTGGAAGAGATGGGTTGGAAATCCCCTGCAGCTCTTGGGGGTAGAGGAGATGGGGTGGAGATCCTCTGCAGCTCTTAGGGGTGGAGGTGTTGGGGTGAAGAACCCCTGCAGCTGTTGCAGGAGTGAAGCTATTGCTAAAATGGTCAAAATACCTGCTCTCTTGGAGCTGGAGGGTGCATAATTTCCACCTGAGGACCTTAAAAGTGCAGGGCTGAATTTGAGAAGGCTTGTACAGAAGTGGCAGCTGGACAAAAGCCCTGATGTCTGCAGCCCAGCTGGATTTGAGGGGCATTCTGCTCCACCAGTGCTCAAGGCAGGCTGCAAAGGCTTCTGTGCAATGGGGAGAAACCACAGTGCTGGCTGAGGGCTGTGAACTGGGATTACCCTTCATCACCCTGTAAAGATTTAACCTGTAAGCAGTGAAAATGTCCCAGCATTTATTTAAATATGAGATGGGCCAACAAAGAACAGGACCACTGTGGCATTTGTGTGCTGAGGGACAAACTGCAACTTGGAGGTTTGTACTTCTTTTTAACCACTTTTTCTGTCACTTTTCCTGTATGTTAATCCCAATAACCCCTGAAATGCCTCTCTAAGCTGTTGGCCAAATTGAAAATCCACATGTAGTAAAAACCCCTGAATTTCACAGTTGCTTTCAAATGTCAGCTTTTGTTTCACGAAAACTACACGTTACCATCAAAATCAAACAAGCATTTGCCCTTCTCACATAACAATTTCAAGGTTTAGAAGATGAGCAAAACATTCTCCTTCCTTCTCCACTCAGCAATTGTGTCAAGGGAATGAACCTTCCCACCTCATCCTCCACTCCCAGTTAATTCCTCTGTTACTCTTTCCAAAATCTTGAAATAAAGGGAATGAACCTTCCCACCTCATCCTCCACCCCCAGTTAATTCCCCTGTTACTCTTTCCAAAATCTTGAAGTACATAACTCCACAATACTTGTAAACTCTGATATTATCTTCTCCCTTGCCTTGCTTCCTCTGCTGTCCTAATCAGCTGTGTCGTTTTTACCTCCATGGGCCCTTTTCAATTTATCTCACCTGGCAGTGGTGAGGGTTGAAGGCAACATTCATATCAGGACATATGGGACCAGCTGGAAGAGTGCAAGACCACAGGACCACCTAATGGAAATCCCATCTGATGGAAATCCCATCTGATGGAAAATCTTGACTGTCAGAGATCCTGCAATAACTCCTTTAAGAAACACACTCTTGCCATCTCAAAATCTCAGCAGCTTGCAGGAGACAAGAGATATTTTAGTTTTTGCTTGGGTGAGACTACAAGGGGGGGGGAAGTGCCTTGCTGAGCTGCTATTTCTGTCCCTGTTAAAGGATGCTGCTGGCTGAAATAAAGCTGAACGTGGGCTGGCTCTGCAGCACGATGTGGCAGGATGGCACTGCCTTGTGACTAGAGCTCCCTTCTCTGCTCTTATTTCAAATAGGCAGCAATAAAAGTTGATTCACTGATAAAGGCTCATAAAAATTTCATCCGGACTGGGGAAAATCAAATATTTCACATGGAAGAAAGGGTTGTAGTGCCAGGCATGGAAGGTGCCAGCTTCTGTTTTCCTCCTGTTTGGTGCCTTCCAAAGGTCTGATGAAGCCAAACAACGCCTTCCCTTTGAGCTTTCTTGGTTAATTGCAACCTCTGCTCCAACTGAGTTTCATACCTATTGAGAAAGCAGAAGTTTCCTCACCTTAGTCACGCAGGTCTCCCTACTGACAACAGTTATGCATCCAATTTAGGGGTGTTGGAAAGAGTTACATCACCCTAAGAACTGGGCATGACTCTTCAGTGAGATCATGATGCTAAGTGGGTCTAATGGAAGAGCCCAAGAGGACTCTTCCCACCAAGTTGCAAGGTTCAGATTGGACTCCCTGGGTTGCTAAACTGCTTCTCAGGGAGGAGTCTACGTGCGGCTGGATGCTGGCTTAGCCTCCAACTGCAGAGTTTGGACCTTGGGTTCTGCCACAGCTGGTTTATTTCAGCTCCAACTGGGACCCTCCCATGACTGACCCCTCTGGTTGTTTCCTAGTGCCTTTGAAGGCCTCACATTCTATTCCATCAGGTCTTCATGCCTTTGTTCACAGGACATGCACAGACCTTTTGTCCAATCCATTTGTTTAGTAGCACTTCTTCTTCTACAATAATTGTAGCAACATCTTTCAAATTCTATCTACTCATGCAGTTCCACCCATCTTATCCACACTCTGGTCTCATCTGTGATCTGTTGTCTTCAGGTGGAGCATCTTCATTTGAAGATCTTTTCCTGGAATTACAGGCTTGGTCCAGCTGATCTCATTGTGCAGGACTTCCAGGACTTCTCCATTTCTGCTAAGCTAAAGTTCAGCTAAAGTTCAGTTATGACTTTTGGCCTAAGGCCTCAGCACTAACCAAACTCACTCGTGCTGAGCTAAGCAAAGCAAGTTTCCATTTGGGGTAACTTAAAGTGAGCACACAATGAATTCTAATATCCTGTAAGTAAACTACTTCAATCTCCAACAGTGGGTCATATTGAAAGTTATAGTTACAGAGCCCTGGGACAGGCTGCCCAGAGAGGTTGTGGAGTCTCCTTCTCTGCAGACTTTCCAGACCTTTCTGGATGCCTTTCTGAGTGATCTGCCCTAGATTTTTTTGGTCCTGTTCTGGCAGAGGGGTTGGACTTGATGATCTTTGGAGGTCCCTTCCAACCCTTAGGATTCTGTGATTCTGCAAGCCCAAATATTCAATGGGAGATGGATATCAGAGCCACTTTGAGGCTAAGATAAATAAAGGAAACAAAACAGATGGAGAACAGCAAGGGGCAGAGTTGCTGGAAGAGGCTCAGGGCACAGAGGTTGCTCCTGCAGCTCTCGAGTGACACGTGCAAGGGATCCAGCTGGATTTCTGGGACTGTGCCTCTGTCCCCACAACTTAGATGGCAGAAAGACAATGACAGGAGGAAAATGCAACAGCAAACAGAAGAAGAGGGGAAAAATTCATATTTTATACAGGGAGATAGGATGAAACACCATAAAAAAGAAGGAATAAAGAGCAACTTAGGGAAATCCAGTGGAGTTTTCCTATTGGTATCTCACAGATTTTTGGCTGGCTGTAATTATTTTTTTTCCTGAAGACTTAATGAGTTGAGATCCTTGACGAAGGATCCTTATCCTCCATGCATTCATTTGTTCATTTTTTCTTCTCCTTGACATTTTTTGGAGTTTGTTAAAAAAAACCAACAACTAATTCTATTTTTTCAATGTGATGGGAGAGGGTGTTGTTTCTATTATTTAATCAAAGTGGTCTTTTTCCTTGCACAGTGGTATTTATTTCTTAATAACATTTTCTCTCAGATAAAATAGCTTTTTTTTTTTGAGAGAAATATTTATGATTTTGAACTTCTGCCTCAAAAAGACCCAAAGCAAATGGTGCCTGGTCCCCTATGAAATGCAGTGGAATGATACTGCTCTTCTGATCGAGCCGCACTGACAATCCTTGGAGACACTTTATAGAAGTTTCAATCCCACTTCCAATTTTAAATTCAATCCATTTCCATATGCACTAAAACAGTGTCTGAGGATGGAATCATTCAGGATGCAGCCTTCTCTGAGGCAGAAGCTGGCCTGGAAAGGAAAACATTCCTCTTCTTACTTGGACGCTGTTTTGTTTTGGTGTTTTGCTTTTCTTCCACTTACCCAGAATTAGAAACTGTTGCATAATTAACACCAGATGAATAAACTGCATTGTGAAGCAACTAAGAAGAGAGGAACTGAGGGGGAAGAGCATAAGCTTGTTTAGGTTTCCAACATGTTTCATCTCATATACAAGCACTGACACGTTATTATCAATTATCCGCCGTCTGACACAGCAGCCCCGTAGTTATTATCGTAGCATCAAAGCAAACATTGCAGAGGTATAAAACCTTCCCTGGCTGAGTCCTGCTTATTTTGGAGGCTGGAAGACCTATAAAGAATGAAGACTTCTCTTCTTGTCGTGCTGATCACAGCCCTGTGCACAGAGAGGGGTGAGTCTCCAAGGGTTGTTTTGCACTAACGGGACCCCCAGAGCTGGGGCTTGTCTTGGGTATTATAGAATCATAGAATGGTTAAGGTTGGAAGGGACCTTAAAGATCATAAGTTTCCAACCTACTTGCTAAAAGCAGGGGCACCTGTGATTGTTATATTGTGGGCTGACATGGGAATTTTGCAGCATGGATGGTAAAGCTGGAGGGTCATTAACTCAAGAGATTAATCTATGAATCCATTCTATTCCAGTCTTCAGGATAAGAATCCAGGGGCCATTTCCCCAGCAGATGTTGGAAGGTGCTGAGGAGCTGAAGTGGGGGATGAAACACTCAGCCCACAGCCCTTGGAGCAGCTCATTGTAGGCAGTGGAGAGTCTTTGGTGCAACCCAGTGAGAAGGAAGGTTAGGTGAGGGATGCACAGAACTGGGCAGGAAAAGGACAAGATGAACCATCAAGCTGCAAATCTGACTTATAACTACAGCCTGATTATTTTTATGTATTTTTTTTTCATTTGCTTATTTATTGGTTGGGATTACAATCTATCATTACCTAAATTGCTTGAGATGGTCACACCACAAGAAAATATAGTTCTGGCTCCCATCTCTTTCTTGCAGCTTGTTGCTTTGAGGTGCAACTTTGCCAGTGTTGATCCCAGGTCTGGGGTGGAGATGCAGAGTCCCATCCTCATTCTGGTGACTTTCTGATGCACTGGGAACCCACACTTTCATTCTACCTGGCTGGGCTCTGCCAAGGACTGCTGCCTGTCCCTCTGGAATCACAGAATTGTAGAATGGTTTGGGTTGGAAGGGACCTCAGAGATCATGTCATTTCAACTGAGCTGCCATGGGCAGGGACATCTCCCACTAGACCAGGTTGCTCAAAGCCTCATCCAACCTGTCCCTGGACACTTCCAGGGAAGTGCAAATAGGGAAAATGTCCCTTTTACACAGGGATGGGCCGTGGTTCAGGGAAAGAACAGACAATGCAGCCCTGAATATCCCTCTGACTATTCCATGGGAACTATTCCTGAGTTCAGGGGGGCTTTTGTTTACTGCAAACTATTTTTTCTCAAGTTCTGCTGTAGAGCTTGACCTGCAAATCACTGGCCATTCTGATCCTGGTCTAGCAGAGCTCTTGGGATCACACAAAATCTGATGCTATAAGTGTTCTTACTGTGGGACTTCACAGGCTTGAATGTTCTAAATCATTGTGCTCAATGGGGTTGAGAAAGTTGAGGCAATAAAAATATCCTTCCCTGCAACTTATGAACTGCACATTTTTTCTCTTTAAAAGATCACACAATAAGACAACAAAATTGCTAAAGTTGTTGGTGAAAATTAACACATACACAGCACCACTTTGCTGTGCAATCTAGCCAGAAGGCTGGTTGCTGTTCCAATGGATCCTGAACTTGACATACACAGCACCACTTTGCTGTGCAATCTAGGCTGTTGCTGTTCCAATTGATCCTGAACCTGTCTGATTTTAACAGTGTAAATCCTGCATCTGCCAGCATTTGCACTTGCTTTACACATGTAAGTTGTTTATCTGAGTGTCTTGATTTATTCACATAAAATCTTCCATGAGGAAGATCCTTTTTCAGCTAGAGCAGAGGTCTGGCTATGCACAAACAGGAGACCTCCAAAGGCAGCCTGGTTTAACCCCAGGTTTTCCTCCTGAGCAAGGTACATTCCTAAAGGAATATTGTTCCCTTCCTCACTCAGCCCTTGTTGCAACAGGTATCTCCACAAACACAATAAAATCCAAGGTGTTTTCAGTAGCAGGAGCAATTGTTATTCTTCCCAGAACAGAGGATCAAAATTGTCCCACATGGCTTCAGGGTCTTAACTGGGCCATCAGCTTAGGAGCCTACATGCCTCTGGAATCATCTAGAGTGAGAGAGAAACCTCTTGAACACAGTGAGATGTTGGCAAATTCACCCCTGAAGGTGCTTGTCCCCTGGCTAGAAGGGTCCCAGGACAACCATGGTCTTAAATCAGCAGTTTTATGAGGTTGGGATGACAAAGGAGTTGGGCATGCAACAAGCATGCCAGCTGTCCTGCAGACATTCAGGACGTTTTTCTTGGAATGGGCTGGATTAAAGAAGAGGCATTAATTAGAGAATAAAATGAGTTGCATGTCTGGAAAACCCAACTTGGGAACTTGGCTCTCATGTGTTTTGTGTTGGTTGATTTTTTTTCTGAGAGGAAAGGGTGGTTTCCAGCTGGGTGGAGCAGAAATGTGCCTGTGTGGGGTTTGCAGGAGAAAAGAGAATGGAGCCACGTGGCTTCTAGTGCAGATAAAGGAGGGTCCCAGATCTGGGAAAAAGAAAAAAGGGATGGAGGCTGCAATGTCAGGAGAGCACTGAATGCAAGAGCCAGGCAGGAGACCCAAGAGAGTCTGGAGATGGAAATGACCAAGGCAGGGAGCAAACTCCAACAATCTTACTCAGTCAGAGTGAGCCAAGTGCCAGGTCTGAGGCTTTTGAAGTTGTAAAGGTGTTGAGTGTAGGCACAGAGGGAGATGAGACCTGAGTCACTGCAAGCCCATTTGCCTGACCTCTGTGTCCTCTGCTGGCTGTTCTTCAGTGAGAGACAAGAGAGGGAGAGTAGGATCTGTGGGGACTACAGACCATAAGGGAAAAATGATGGTCACTGCTGGTTGCTCATGGAAAGGACAAGGGTGCTGTTAGCTGGAGTGGGGAGAGAAGACAGTTTTCAGAAACAGAGAAGGATGAATAGTGCCCTAAAAAGCAGTTTAGTGGCTTCCTGTGAAATACCTGGCACACCCTGGTCACCCAGGTCACTGTCTGGGGTAATGGGCCACTCAGGAGCCAGAGCAGCTTACCTAAGGTCAAACAAGGGCAGCAATGAGGCTGGGACTTTGCTGGCAAAAACACCAACAAGGACAAAGGAGCTTGGGCAAGGGAGAAGAGGAATGAGGGGAGATGAAGAGCACGGAAGGCAAAAGACAGTGCTACTACCAAAATAAGATGGGTATTAACTGATCATAAATAGGGACAGCTTGGAAATGACAAGAACGAACCTAATCCCCAGGGGGTGACATTACTGCAGGAGTGTTTGCTCCAGCTAAACAGATGAGTAGGAAATTCCCCTTAACATGCAGATAAGCCTTCCCTGAGGATCTCTTTGCTATGAATGACTGCTTTAGTTTGCTGGAGTGCAAGCTGGATTCATTCATTCAGATTAGCAGAGCTCTTTGCTGCTGCACAGCATTACAGATGGATGCATTTTGTGGTTTTAGGCAGTCATCACCCACAGACACCTGTAAAAAAGGATCTACTGCAGCCAAGGGAGTGATTTACTGAGCCCTGTCTTCTACAAGTCCAAGATTGCCCCCTGACACAGAGGAGAGCTCTGAAAATGACCCAGCCAAATGAAAGCATCCATCTTCCCAGAACACACTGAGAAGCAGATCTAGGTCACTTGTCCCTCATTTGAGACAGCTTCTGGGGGTCAGAAAGGTCACACTGAGGTGTGTGTCTCTCTTTTTCTATTCAAAAAGCATTTTTAAATAATTCACAGTAGATTTGTGTGCTCTGAGAAAGGATATGTAGGCTAGGACCTTCCAGATTATTTGAAGAAGATGTGAAATATCTTGGAAAGGATCCTGTTCCATAAAGAACTAGTGGCAAACAAACAGGCTTTGGAGGAGCCAGTATGGAAAGAAACCACTAGAGCTTCATGCTTCAAGTGGTCATTGACTAGAGTGCCCTTTCCCAAAGCTCACTGGGGATGCCAGAGGTTTTACATTGATTTGTGGGAGGGTCAGGTAAGTACCCAGAAGGAAGATCTCTTGAGGGTTACTAAATAACCAAACCACATCAGCATCAGGAGTATGAGCTTCAAGTCATTTGGGTCCAGGAGAGTTTCCAGGGCAAAGTTTCACAGACCCAGGGGGTTGTCTGCTTGTGGTTTTTGGGCTTGACAGATCCACCACGTGGACCAGCACCACCAGTTTGATGCTCCCATGGATATTTCCAGGGGTGACTGATGGGTGTTGTGTGCTTCTTTTGCAGCTCTCTCTTTGACATGTTTCACATGCAAAGATGCATCTTCCAACTTCCACTGTCTCAGCACAACCACGTGCTCTGAGAATGAGAAGTACTGTCTCACAACCTATTCTACCACGGGCTTTGGTGAGTGTGAAGCTTTTCTAAGGCTCTGAGGATGAGATGGGGCTCAGGGTAGGCTGATGGCAGAGCCTCCTCCCACCATGAGGTGTGGTGGAAGAATTAATGAGGATCATAACACACACAGAGCAAATGTGGCAGGAGGTGGGAACTCAGCACAGCCCATTCCCATTGCAATATGTCCCAACAATTCTGCACTGTTGTACCAACACACCAGGAGAGGGACACACTGGAAGAGAGAGGCTTTCTCTGCACCAACCCCCTGGCTCATCTCCCAGCTCATATATATGCTCATGAGGTGATGGAATTAGAAAAGGACAATACTCTAGCAGGGGCAATATCAAGGCATGGTGACAATGATGTTGTGCAGTCTTACATGACACAAATGCTTTAGATCTCCAGCTTTCTGCCCTAGGTTACATTCATCTGGCCCTGAAAGCAGCAGAGGAGTTGTCAGGCCTGGAGATGGTCTCCATAGGTCATACAGACAGAAAGAATGATGCAGTGTGATGAAGCCCAAGGGAAACCCAACAGCATTAACATATTCCCCACTGAATATCACACAGCCAGTCTATCACTGAAGTCTGTAAAAAAATGTACAAGCTTAAACCCCTGACTTTTCTTCCTGTTTTCTCTCTCCCCCACCCCAGGGGACGACCGTAACCAACGTATCACCAAGAAGTGTTCTGCCTATTGCCCAGCAATTGACCTGAATATTGGCATAGCTGGTGTTGCTACCAGCTGCTGTGAGACGTCCTTGTGCAACATGAGTGGTGCCAACAGTGTGAAAACCAGTTACACCATGATAGCTCTGGGTGTCTTGGCCAGTCTCGCCTGCATCCTCCGGCTGGGTTTTTGACTGGGTTGTAGGGGAAAGGAGCTGCTTGGCCTTGCACTGCAAGGCAGCAAACTCTCATCTGCACAGTATAAATGCTACCCTATTTCTCCTACCTGGAAGGTAACATCCTATCAGCAAATATTTGTTGCTCTTTCTGTGCCCTGATGCTAGTGCAGAAGAGCACAGCCCTACCTCAAAAAGGTGTGATGTGGGGCCCTGTGCATGCAGGAGGGCACCACAGAATCACAGAATGGTTTGGGTTAGGACCTTAAAGATCATCTTGTTCCAACCCCCCTGCCATGGGCAGGGACACTTCCCACTACACCATGTTGCTCCAAGACCCATCCAACCTGGCCTTAAACACTTCTGGGTGTGGGGAGGCAGTCAGAGCTTCTCTGGGCAACCTGGTCCAGTGTCTCATCTCCCTCACAGGAAATAATTTCTTCCCAATATCAAATATAAATCTACCCTCATTCAGCTCAAAACTGTTACCTCTCATGCTATCACTCCATGCCCTTGTAAAAAGTCCACCTCCATTTTTCCTGTACACTCTTCAGGTACTGGAAGACTCCTCCAAGTTCTCCCCAGAACCCCTTCTTCTCCAGTAGTCATATAGACACCATATAGTCACCAACTCTTCTACTATTGGCTTTTATAACTCCATAGGTTGGGTTTTTTCCCCTCCATTTTGTCCCTACCATTCTGTTGGGCCATTTTTACATTTATATCATTTTCCACCTTACATCATTTTGCTCTGAGGAAGCTTTTGATATTGTACTTGTTAAACAGAAACTAGGGCACAATAAAGTGTTATTTTATCCTATTGTATGCCTGTGTGGTATGGTAGGTTGGGCAGAGTGGTTGGATGCACCCATGTTAGCAGCAACAAAAGAAGAGGTGTTAGTCTGCAAGCTGGGGTGAAATAATGCTGAAATATCTTGCAATTGCTTTGCATTCCCTTCAGGAAACCTCTCCCCAGACTTTCTTTTTATTTTTCTGCATCAGTGGAAATGTCATTTTGTGACTCCTTTTCAGAGCAAACTGAGTCCTATTCAACTGCTTTTCAATCTCAGTTCTGGGTCAGCTGGTTGAAAGGAAATGGCTGTTGAGCTCTCCAACAGGCAAAGGGGACAAGGTGGGACTAAACACCAAGGAATCTTGACACTAAGTTTTCTTTAAACTTATTTATGGTCTTCCAGCAGAAATTGTTTTTAAGCATTGCGGGTTATTTGGGAAGGGGAGAAAAGTATCTTGCATGGTGCTGGAAGGAAAGGAATCAGAAAAGACAGATGGTTTCTACCCCGTGGCTGCTTGAGATTGGAAAATTCAGCTTCATCCAGGACAAAATAGTAATTTTGAAAAGAAATCTTTTGTGTTTGCTAGTTAAGTTTCCCATCAGGATTAAAATTCAAGGAAGTCGTTCCCCTGCACTGACCTTCCTTGTGGATAATCTTAGCTAGGAATGAGAGATTTGCTTCCTCAGACTCTTCCAAAGTGAGTCACAGGAAGCTGAAATGCTTTCTCCTGAAGCTCCACCAGGGTCAACCCAACAAGATCTCCCAGGGTAATTAGTTGGGTGTAGCTCACCCAGCTGGTGAGCTCACCCACCTCTGTAGACTCATTGCACAGGGAGAGCAGCTTCACACTTGGCTCACTCTGCTGGGTTTTCATTGAGAGCAAAGAAATAACAAAACTCAGGAAGAGCTAGATCTTTATAGCAGGTTTGGAAAAGAAGTGTCGTCTCATGGCTCCAGTTCACCCCACCTTGCTCCACCCCTTCTTGTCCATTCTTCCTCCCCTTCACATCTGACCCCCAGCAATACATTCTCTCTGGTTTCTCTCCCAGCCTTCTTTGTTGGCTTCTTCATCCAGTCTCTGGGCTTTACATCCAACCTCTATTTTCTTGCTAGAACCTCAGCTCATGTTTTTCTCTTTGGTCTTTAATCATGACACCATCCTTTTTCCTCATGGTTTCTATTGCACTGCCACCCCACAGCTGAGCTGGCTTCATTCTTCTGTCCAATCTACTCTCTTCAGCTTTCTTCCCCCCATCCAGATTTAAAGGCACACACAGATAACGCCTTGAAGGAGCCAAGAACTGCTGTGGTCTTGGATGGCCATACTCTATCCCACACACAGATGGTAGGATGGTGACAACTGAACTATTTGAACTAGTCTTCAGCCTTTGATGTCCACAGGCTTAGGATTTCCTAGATCCAATGCTGGTTGGCACAGGCAAAGCTCAACCTGGGGTCATCACTGTCTTAGGTTTTGACCTGCTGAGCTTGTGAATACAGACCTGCTTTAACATCCAGGTTTAAAGAAAGGTCATGTCTTGTTCTACCTGAACTTGACCCATTTTGGGTTAGAAAGGAACCTGGCAGCTGAAAGAAGGTATAAAATATGTGAGCAAAGGGGATGAAAGCCTGTGGTAAAGCCTGTTTCTGCCATGGGGGGCTCCGTGGTCTGTTTATGGCTCTTGCATGGAGAAGTTGTGAACAGCACTGGGAAGACACAGCTCCCATCCCCAAGGGAGCAGCTCCATCAATGGTCCCCAGATTGTCTCTCTTTTGCTTGGTTTCTTCCTGATCCCATAGGTTCTGCATTTCCCACTACCCACCAACACAACCCATGTGTGTGGGCCAAAATTTGATGACATCTCAAGTTACATAAAAGTGTCCTGATCTGCAGATGGGAGCAGCAATTGCCCTGAGGCATGGGAGGTTGTAAAACCATGAAAGGTCCCTTAGTGAACTCTCCTTCCCACAGAGGTGTTGTGTAAAAGGAGATTCCTCTCTGTCAGCCTTCCTGAGAAATCCTGATGTGACATCTCCCATGTAGATGCTGCTGCCTGATTACACACACCTCCACCCAGGGTTGCCTGTTTGTTGGTTCCCATGGCTGCATACTTCTTGGATGAGAGTGGTGAGATGCTCTGCAGAGACATCTGGGATACTTGGTGGGCTCTTGGGAAGATGAGCCTTTCAAATAGCTGGGGTTGCTCCAGGGAGGTACCTGCCTCTCTGCCTGGATCACCCAAGAGTTCAGAGTTCAGTGCTCTGAGTCACTTGCATCAGGCTCTGAATCAGCCAGGGGACCCTTGACCTACTTAAATTAGGTACGTGGAGGAGGTGGTTTAACTTTGATCCCTCTTATCCCTCACTCAGGTCTCTATCATCACTGATTCTGAAGGACCACTGATTCTGGAAGTGGTTGAGGCCAGGCTGGATGTGATTTTGAGCAGCCTGGTGTAGTGGAAGGTGTCCCTGATCACAGCAGAGGGGTTGAAACTAGATGATGTTTAAGGATTCTTCCAACCCAAAAGATTCTATGACTCTATGACCTAAGCTGCCTTTTGCTCTTCTCAAATAGTTTGGCTGTCTCTTCCCTCCTCTCTCTCCTTATTTGCCCAGATCCAATCAACATCCAGTGAATCAATGAAAAAGCAAGAGAAAAGACACCTGCAAAATACAAAGCAAGGTCTTCATTGGGTCTAAAATCTTCTGGAAGTCATGGAAAGTGAGAAAAGCATCCCTTTTTCAAAATTAACTGCTGCTCTCTTGTCATCCAGCCAACTCATGGCTCCAGTTTGAGGTCCATTTTAGTTTTCCTGGATGGGTGGCAATGCTACTCTACACAGGTCACTCAGGTTCCCCCTGGTTGTTTGGGGCTTTTATTGCAGTCTTTCTCAATCTTCTCACTTGGTGTCCCTGGCTTGTCCTCTCCAGGCCCTCCTCCAGGTTGAAGGCTCTGATGTTGGGCAACAGGAGACACTCTCCCCATGTTGGCTGCTTAAGTGTTGCCTCTGACTGCCTTGAGTTTCATCATCTGTCCCCTTGAGTACGAAGAAATCCCTGTGTCCCAGTCATTGTGCTGCAAAATTACTGCTCTCCAGACATTGAGAAAAGGACAAGCTCCAGCACCACGTCATGCCTTGGTACCCACAAAAATGGTAATCTTAGAATCATGGAATCATCCTGCTTGGAAGGGACCTTGAAGATCATCAAGTCCAACCTAAATCCCTCTGCCACAACGTGATTTACCCATTCAGTGCTTAACTCATGTCACTCAGCACTATATCTACATTTCTTTTAAGCACTCTCAGGGATGGGGACTCCACCACCTCCCTGGGCAGCCTGTTCCATTGTCCAACCACTCTTTTGGTAAAGAAATTCTTTCTAAAATCCAGTTTAAACCACCCCTGGTGCAACTTCAGGCCATTTCCTCTCCTCCTGTCATTATTCACTTGAGAGAAGAGGCCAATCCCACCTCCCTGCAACCTCCTTTCAGGGAGTTGCAGAGATCAGTGTCCTGGGGATATCTCCCAGATACCTGTTTGACAGAGACAAGCTTGTTTCCTACTCAAATTTCTCTCCTTAGTACATGTTTGTTGGCTGTGCTGGGAATGTCTGAGCCTCACCATCCCCTTCCAGAGCTGACTTGCAATAAGCCAACTTCCTATTGCATGAAGATTCATGTAGAAACAAAGAGATGTTGACAAAGTCCACATGGGGGGGCAGAGGGCAATAATTAGAGGAGTCTTCTACTCATGCAGGAAGGGAAAAGGAATATGTTTAAGAGAAGTCTATGGAATAATTAATAGGCTGGGGAAAAAAGGGAAAAACAATAATGGTTGCTGCCTTTTGCCCTCATTGCAAAACCCCAGCAAGAAGATACACCCACTAATTATGAAGAACAACACAGCACACTTGGGCAGAAAACCTAATTGCCCTCTGGAAAGCAAAAGGTTTGATGTGACCATCATCAGCACGTTCTCTGCTGACCTCACAAACCTCCACCAACAAGAGAGGTGAAGTCTGTTTTGGGCTTGAACAACTCTGGAATTGACCACCTGGTGTGTCATTCCAGGAACAGGTTAAGAGGGCCTGAAAAATATCAGAAACTCACATGGATAAGAAAATAATCCAGTGTTGGAATGATTCATATTAGAAACACAGATAAATACTCTACTGATGGCTCCTTCTAGGGAACTAACTGCCTGTTAAGTTATTCCCTAACTGACAGCAGAAAGGGAGCTTGACAATTTGTTTTTCTTTGCACAGTCACAGAATCACAGAATAGTGATGGTAGGGGCTGGGATGGACCTCTGGAGATCGTGGAATCATAGAATTATAGAATGGTTTGGGTTGGAAGGGACCTTAAAGATCATCTAGTTCCAACCCCCTTCATGGGCAGGGACACCTCCTGCTAGATCAGGTTGCTCAAGGCCCCATCCAACCTGGTCTTGAACACTTCCAGGGAGGGGCATCTACAACCTCCCTGGACAACCTGTTCCATCATCTCACCACCCTCACAGGAAACAACTTGTTCCTAATGTCCAACCTGAATCTCCCTGTCTGATTCAACCTCCCTACTAGAGCAGGATCCCCTAGAGCAGATTACACCTGAGGACCTCCAAACAGGTTTGGAATGTCTCCAGGGATGGAGACTCCACAACCTCCCTGGGCAACCTGTTCCAGTGCTCTGTCACCCTCCTGTCCAGGACTAATGTCACTTTGGAAGAAGCTCCATTGAGATGACAGATAGAGCTCTTACGAAACACATCTTGTATTAGGGTTTATTTCCCTGAATGTCAGAAGCAGATTTAATTCAGAGGGGAGCAACACAGAGGAAGGGAAGAAAAAGGATTGATTTAAGAGGAGAGATTGAAAAAGAGACAGTTTGAGAGATGACTTCCTTCAAAGTAGAGCAGCAATTCCAGGATGCCAATTTATGGTATCATAAAATGGAGGTCTGATTCCCAGAAGCTGTTGGGGGTGGAAGAAAGCAGACTCTGCAAAGAATCCCTGAAAGAGAAGCAAAACTTAATGGAATAAAAATTGTATAAGGTATTTGAGAATTATAATGAGAGAGGAGCAAGTGGATGGATTAACTACAGGTAATGTAAAATTGGTAAAGAAATGGAGACAAACAAAAAGTTGAGGAAAATCTTCTATTTAACTACTAGTTAATTTCCTTTAGTGTAAAATACACTGATTTTATTTGAGGTAAATCAGTGTAGGCCAGTTCAGAGTTTGAGCTTCTGGCACTGTGGAATAATTAAAGAAAATGAACAGTACAAAGCCTAGAACATCACATCCTGACTATCCAAAGGGATCAGAAAACTGCACTGCTAGGACTGTCTCCCTGTGCCTCCAGGCTCCACTGTTTCATCATTTTCCTCATTTCCCATCATTCATATGACTGGGAGAGCAAGAAATGTGTTGCTAAAAAGTCTTTTCCCCAACGTTCCAGCCCATCCTGTGGGCTCCAGCCTGGAGAACTCCCACGTGCACATTGCACACCCTTGGGTTGATTTCATGTCTACCCCGTGAGCCATTTGGAACCTGTAAAATTGCTGCCATTCAAAAGGTATATAACCTGCCCTCCAAACACCTTCCCAGTGTGGCTGAGAAGATCTGGTGGAGATGAAGAGTCATCTTGTCACCCTGCTGGTTGCTGTCCTGTGTGTGGAGCAAGGTGAGCCCCTAATCCTGCTACTATAGATAAGATGGTGAAAACTCTTTGTGTGGGAAAAGCTTAGAGGGCTGTCACCAACTTTGCAGCATTGCAGTGTTGCTGCCACCAGCTCCCTTTTGCAACTTAATTCATGATTTCCTGCAGAAATAAGAACCCGATGAGCTAATTCTTCTTTTCAGGAGGCAGTACCAAGTGCCAGAGCTCCAGCTGTACAGTGCCAGGTTATATCCATACAGTGTTCTATGGGATCTTCCCAAAGGATCCAAGCTAGAAGTGCCAGCAAGTGTAACAAAACCTACTTATTTAAAATCTGTATCAGTTTTCTGACTATTTTACAGACTTTTCTGTGCTGCTGCTTCATTCATCGTAGCAAGACACGTGGTTTGCCACGTGTCTTGTTCCCTAGAAAACACACAAGTGAGAATTTATACAGATTAAATCAGGGGCAGAGATGAAAGAACTTTTCTGTGCACATGTCATATTACAGGCATCCTTCTCCCAAAGGGAAGTCTGAAGTCCTCTGAGTGTGTGTATCCCCTTCCTGGGACTGATACTCATGTGTTGCTCCATCGTTACTCGCACGTAGGAATAATGACCACACTGTCAACATTTCCCCCACACCTGATGGTTTCCCAGAAACCATGATACATATCTAGCAGGGGTTGAGAAAGAAACATCCAATTAATTTTTGCTCTCTGATGTATCAACCCCCTACTCCTACATATTTTTTTTTGGACAGATGGTTCTGCAGCGCGTCTGGGAGATCAGAAGCTTTGGCTACTTTTTGGGGTGGGAAAAGGAATATTCAGCTCTAAAATAGACAGGAAGGATTTGGGGCCCATCATTCTGGAATGCAGTGACACAACGTGGACAGAGGAGAGTAATTATGAAAGACAAAGTCCTCAGTGTTATCCAGGATGAAGTGGAAAGGTAATAGAGATCCAAGACTCTGGTAACACACATTCATAGTGGGATACTTTTTGCTGGAGTAAGTTGATAACTATTTTTACTGGCATCAGCTTCCAAACAAACTTAGGGAATGAACTTAGGGACAGCCTTTTACACAGCACCTTTCTGTAGCCTAGTCCAGGCTGGATAAAGTTAGTGATTCTAATATCAGTGTTTTCACATGCAAGAGTAAGAGATTGTAGCTTTCATCCTAATATAGAGACAAAGGAAAGCTTGAACATAACTGTTACCTGTCTTTGGGGTCCTATTAAATACCCTAATAAGCAGCTTTTGATCAAAATTGTTGATCTCTCAACCCAGCAAATAAAGTCTGTTGCCATTTCCATCCATGAACTCACTGTTATAGACATAGTATGTCCAGAAGAAATCTTCAAAGCTCATGATACATTTTCCTGCTCCCATGCTGGGCCAAAACAGGCAGATGTTTATCTCATGTGGCCTGGAAGAGTTTTCAACAGAGAAGATTCTACAGCCTGGAATGACCCAGACTCTCATCCTTTTAGCAACCTGTTCTTACTATCTCTTCATGTACAGTTCTGTGTTTTCACCATAGGAGATGTGGAACAGTTTATTACTCTTTCTTTGCAGCTTCTTTTTTCTTCCATGAAGGTTCCTGTGCCTTTCCATAGCACTTTCTCATTTTTAATAAACCAACTAGATGCTTCCAACCTTTTTTACAAGGTCATGTTTTCAAGATCACTGACCGTTTCTCCTCCTTCTCCTCTGATCTCTCTCCAAGTGCTTTGCATATTCTTTGAAGTTTCACATATAGATTTGGTCACTGCTGTTCCAGTTGAGGCTTTGCCAGAGTGGAAAGGCCACTTATCATATCTTGCACATGACATTGCTGCCTGTGTTCCTTTGGGTGACAGTTGTTTTCAGTGTTGTCGTGTGACACAGTTGACTCCTGCTCTTTACAGTCCAGCCCTTAATTGTAACTGAACGAGCTGTTCCTCATCCTACACTTAAGTGGCTAATTTTTATCTCAGTGTGATATATTTGTCTTTATGGAACTGCAGTCATTGTGGTTTGTTTTTTTTTTTTTTTCATTCTTTTATTGCATCCATCTGTCAAAATCACTTAGAACTCTAATTACAGTATGTTTTCAGATATTTTGTCCTTGGCGTCATCAAAAAATGTGATGTGCATCATCTATTCATCCCTACTGTCACTAGTGATACTGTATAGACCTCAGCCCACAGCAGAGCTCTGGAGAACCTTAAGGGTGACATTGCTCCTGTTGGTTTGACCAATAACCATTGTGAATGATCCTGTGAGGGTGTTTTCATGTCTGCTTTGCACCCATTCTGTTGCATTTTCACTAGCTTGTGCTTCCTGGGCTTGCTTACAACAAAATAATTCAAAATTGTGCCAACATTTTTAGTAGAGCATCTTGCATCTCCTCTACCCTGCACATGAAGATTCAACTTCTTTTGTGATGAACCAAGCAAAAAAGCTACACAATGTTATGGACTTCTCAGCATCAACAGCTGTTAACTTTTTCCTTCCCTTCCCTTTCCTTCTATCAGAAACTTCTTGTTTAATGATCTCTCTAACCCACATTGCCCTTCCACTTTCTTACTGCCAACTTCTTATCAGGCAAAACTGTTCTCACACAGGCACATGTCCTCTACTTGCTGTCTGCCCTTTCCATGCTGACAGGCTGTCCTGAGACTTACTGAGAACCTGGCAAGTATTCTGTGCTGTGTTTGCTTCCCTTTCCAAAAATGCCTGTGCTTTTAAAGTACCTCATCCCCTCTCCTACACACAAAAGCACATACTTTGCTCTGGGTGACTTTGCAAGCTCAGAACCCAGCCACCACCATCCAAACCCATCAATAAATTAACCTGCTAGCTGGGGTGTGTTCTGCAGACACTTTGGTGTGGTTTCTCATCCAGACTGTGTTTTGGCTCTTCACTTTACGTGGGCTTTCCAGTGGTCTGTCCTTCCACCTTCAATATTTGAGGGGAAGGGAGCACATTCTTGAGAGGAAAGACAGCTCCTTGTTGCCTGACTTTCCTCCCAGTCATCTTCTATATCTGTAATGTAGATGTATGAATTATCTCACCAAATTTTTTGCCAGTTTAACCATACTTTATGTTAAGGCTTCCCATTTATTCTCCCTTTTACAGTGCTATGCAGAAGTTCAACAGAATATCTGACTACTCTCATCAGACTTCCCAGGACTGAGGTTAGGCCAGTTCAGTTGGTGGTGTTTGACCACAAGAAAGGATGCAAAAGTAGTTTCCAAGCCAGATGAAAGAGAAGTAGGACACAGAGCATTGTCCACCTCCTCAAAATGCTCCAGGCATCCTCAGGTTCTCCCTGGCAAGCTCTGCTTAGGCTTGCTGAGGAGAAGCATCTGAGCAGTAATTGGCAAGTCTGTGGCAGAGCTCCCAGGACAAAGAAGCTATTGCTCAGCAATAATCTCCATCATAAAAGACCCCAAATCCTCGAATTCCACTCACATCTACTGCTGCTAGAGATTGCAAACAGATCGATAACACTTTGCAGGCTGAGATGTATGAAGCAGAGAGGGATTTAACACTGATGCCCTGGCTGGAGGGATAAAGAAGGTCACTGGTCATTCGCACAGAAACCACCATCAGGCTGCAACTGGGAAAATGGAGTTACCTGAATGCAACGTGGTTCCTAAACCATGTCATATGCTTTGTTTTCTTTTCTTTTATTTTTAATTCCCTTTAGCTTACCCATTTATGTGCTACGTGTGCCAAGAGCAGGAGTCCAACAAGGACTGTTTGACCATTTCCATGTGTGCAGAGGAAGACAAATACTGTGTAACCGTCCGTACCGATGTTGGAACGGGTAGGTTTCTGAACAGCACCTTGGTTTTGCTGTAGAAAAGCAGTGCCAGGAACAGGCTTTCATCCCAGTTGTGGCCACACATGGAAACAATAGTCTCTGATCACCAGCTGTTAGGAAGCACTGACCTTGCTCATGACTGCAGTCACTGCTGTGTCGATACGTACTTGATATTGTCACCAGGAGTTGAGAAAATGCCAAAGGTCCATCCCTTGGAGCACCAGGGAGTGAACTCCAGGCTGAGGCTGTGTGCACTGCTTCATGTCAGCTCCCTCCAGCTTTGCACTGATCACCCCATCTAGCTCTTGCCATGGCAATGCTTCCTCCCAGGGTTGTTTTTAAAAATGCTGGGGAGAACTGGAGCATGGCTGACTCCCTGTGCCACACACAATCATTCAGGTGTGTCCTTGGGGCTCTGCACCCTCAAACACCTCCATGTGCTCTCAGACATGCAGGCATCTCAGGGCTTGCAGTACATTGGCCCTGGTTTGATGCTGTAGGTGGTTTTATGCTGTGCGGGGCATCAACCCAGCCTTGAGCAGTGCTTCAGGCAGCATGAACTGAAAGCCACCCACACATGCTAATTCCACTTTAGGGACAGATGAAACATAAGAGCCTAGAGAAGAACAGCATCAGGTTGCAACAATGTGGACACAGGCAGATTGTTATAGGAGATGTGGAACAGTTTATTACTCTTTCTTTGCAGCTTCTTTTTTCTTCCATGAAGGTTCCTGTGCCTTTCCATAGCACTTTCTCATTTTTAATAAACCAACTAGATGCTTCCAACCTTTTTTACAAGGTCATGTTTTCAAGATCACTGACCGTTTCTCCTCCTTCTCCTCTGATCTCTCTCCAAGTGCTTTGCATATTCTTTGAAGTTTCACATATAGATTTGGTCACTGCTGTTCCAGTTGAGGCTTTGCCAGAGTGGAAAGGCCACTTATCATATCTTGCACATGACATTGCTGCCTGTGTTCCTTTGGGTGACAGTTGTTTTCAGTGTTGTCGTGTGACACAGTTGACTCCTGCTCTTTACAGTCCAGCCCTTAATTGTAACTGAACGAGCTGTTCCTCATCCTACACTTAAGTGGCTAATTTTTATCTCAGTGTGATATATTTGTCTTTATGGAACTGCAGTCATTGTGGTTTGTTTTTTGTTTTTTTTTTTTCATTCTTTTATTGCATCCATCTGTCAAAATCACTTAGAACTCTAATTACAGTATGTTTTCAGATATTTTGTCCTTGGCGTCATCAAAAAATGTGATGTGCATCATCTATTCATCCCTACTGTCACTAGTGATACTGTATAGACCTCAGCCCACAGCAGAGCTCTGGAGAACCTTAAGGGTGACATTGCTCCTGTTGGTTTGACCAATAACCATTGTGAATGATCCTGTGAGGGTGTTTTCATGTCTGCTTTGCACCCATTCTGTTGCATTTTCACTAGCTTGTGCTTCCTGGGCTTGCTTACAACAAAATCATTCAAAATTGTGCCAACATTTTTAGTAGAGCATCTTGCATCTCCTCTACCCTGCACATGAAGATTCAACTTCTTTTGTGATGAACCAAGCAAAAAAGCTACACAATGTTATGGACTTCTCAGCATCAACAGCTGTTAACCTTTTCCTTCCCTTCCCTTTCCTTCTATCAGAAACTTCTTGTTTAATGATCTCTCTAACCCACATTGCCCTTCCACTTTCTTACTGCCAACTTCTTATCAGGCAAAACTGTTCTCACACAGGCACATGTCCTCTACTTGCTGTCTGCCCTTTCCATGCTGACAGGCTGTCCTGAGACTTACTGAGAACCTGGCAAGTATTCTGTGCTGTGTTTGCTTCCCTTTCCAAAAATGCCTGTGCTTTTAAAGTACCTCATCCCCTCTCCTACACACAAAAGCACATACTTTGCTCTGGGTGACTTTGCAAGCTCAGAACCCAGCCACCACCATCCAAACCCATCAATAAATTAACCTGCTAGCTGGGGTGTGTTCTGCAGACACTTTGGTGTGGTTTCTCATCCAGACTGTGTTTTGGCTCTTCACTTTACGTGGGCTTTCCAGTGGTCTGTCCTTCCACCTTCAATATTTGAGGGGAAGGGAGCACATTCTTGAGAGGAAAGACAGCTCCTTGTTGCCTGACTTTCCTCCCAGTCATCTTCTATATCTGTAATGTAGATGTATGAATTATCTCACCAAATTTTTTGCCAGTTTAACCATACTTTATGTTAAGGCTTCCCATTTATTCTCCCTTTTACAGTGCTATGCAGAAGTTCAACAGAATATCTGACTACTCTCATCAGACTTCCCAGGACTGAGGTTAGGCCAGTTCAGTTGGTGGTGTTTGACCACAAGAAAGGATGCAAAAGTAGTTTCCAAGCCAGATGAAAGAGAAGTAGGACACAGAGCATTGTCCACCTCCTCAAAATGCTCCAGGCATCCTCAGGTTCTCCCTGGCAAGCTCTGCTTAGGCTTGCTGAGGAGAAGCATCTGAGCAGTAATTGGCAAGTCTGTGGCAGAGCTCCCAGGACAAAGAAGCTATTGCTCAGCAATAATCTCCATCATAAAAGACCCCAAATCCTCGAATTCCACTCACATCTACTGCTGCTAGAGATTGCAAACAGATCGATAACACTTTGCAGGCTGAGATGTATGAAGCAGAGAGGGATTTAACACTGATGCCCTGGCTGGAGGGATAAAGAAGGTCACTGGTCATTCGCACAGAAACCACCATCAGGCTGCAACTGGGAAAATGGAGTTACCTGAATGCAACGTGGTTCCTAAACCATGTCATATGCTTTGTTTTCTTTTCTTTTATTTTTAATTCCCTTTAGCTTACCCATTTATGTGCTACGTGTGCCAAGAGCAGGAGTCCAACAAGGACTGTTTGACCATTTCCATGTGTGCAGAGGAAGACAAATACTGTGTAACCGTCCGTACCGATGTTGGAACGGGTAGGTTTCTGAACAGCACCTTGGTTTTGCTGTAGAAAAGCAGTGCCAGGAACAGGCTTTCATCCCAGTTTACTGTGTAACCGTCCGTACCGATGTTGGAACAGGTAGGTTTCTGAACAGCACCTTGGTTGTGCTGTAGAAAAGCAGTGCCAGGGACAGGCTTTCATCCCAGTCGTGGCCACACATGGAAACAATAGTCTCTGATCACCAGCTGCTAGGAAGCACTGACCTTGCTCATGACTGCAGTCACTGCTGTGTCGATACGTACTTGATATTGTCACCAGGAGTTGAGAAAATGCCAAAGGTCCATCCCTTGGAGCACCAGGGAGTGAACTCCAGGCTGAGGCTGTGTGCACTGCTTCATGTCAGCTCCCTCCAGCTTTGCACTGATCACCCCATCTAGCTCTTGCCATGGCAATGCTTCCTCCCAGGGTTGTTTTTAAAAATGCTGGGGAGAACTGGAGCATGGCTGACTCCCTGTGCCACACACAATCATCCAGGTGTGTCCTTGGGGCTCTGCACCCTCAAACACCTCCATGTGCTCTCAGACATGCAGGCATCTCAGGGCTTGCAGTACATTGGCCCTGGTTTGATGCTGTAGGTGGTTTTATGCTGTGCTGGGCATCAACCCAGCCTTGAGCAGTGCTTCAGGCAGCATGAACTGAAAGCCACCCACACATGCTAATTCCACTTTAGGGACAGATGAAACATAAGAGCCTAGAGAAGAACAGCATCAGGTTGCAACAATGTGGACACAGGCAGATTGTTCTTATTCCTCATATACTTGCCTTGGGGACTAGTCCCTACTTGACTTTTATTCAATGCAGAATTACCCAAGAAAATATGTTTTAACAATGATTCTTACATTCTATGTTTTTTTTGTTTGGTTTTTTTTTCCCCCCTTTTCTCTTTTCCATTAGAGCCCAACAAGCCTAAATATGTCATCTCTAAGATGTGTTCTCCAACGTGTCCAGCAACCAGCCAGCAACAAAACCAAGCCTACCAGAATGTTTCTTGCTGTGAGAAACCTTTGTGCAATGTGAATGGAATCAGCAGCAAGCAAAGCAGCTATGGACTGATATCCCTGGGTGTCCTAGTCAGTACCACTTACCTTTTTACCTGTGGACTTTGATGGGTTAGTAAAAGCTCCCTGTGATGTCATTGTTGGCCATAATAAAAGTGTGTTGCTCTGGGGTAATTGTTGCTCTCAAAGAGTCAGGCTTTGCAGTTGAGCTTCCCCTGGGATTTTGAAGAGAGTTTAAATAAGTTAGGTGCTGAACTCCCATTGATTTCCTAAGCCTACTTGAATCCAAAATGTCTCCAGACACTCAAGCCACCTAAGAAAACACATAAAAGATGGCCCTTTTGACATGGTCAGGCTTCAGGTTGTTAGAGCTTTGAAGAGATCCTTGAAGATTTATTTTTGTCTGAGTTTTGAAGCACTGTGAGGAACAACCCACCCTGCCTGAAACACAGGTAATAGCTCAGTAGCTGTGTCAGCACAGGGGGATGCTCAGGACCTTCTGCTCACAGCAAGTTGGTTACCATCCACTAGTCAAGAATTCAAGTAAGTAGAAGTCAAGCTTATTCCTGGCAGTAGTTTGGATGTTACTCCAGACTTGAGGGGGAGCAATTTCTGGCTCTGCTCTTATAGTGGTATCACATTTTGAAACGAGCATCTTTTATTCTCCAGCAGTTGGCTGGGGAAAAGGCAGAGAGGAGAAATGTGGCTGAGAGAAAAGGCATTGGCAGGGAATCAGAGGGGAGACAGGATGGAGGAGGGAAGAGGGAACAACATGGTGAGCACTACTCTGGGAATTGCCTGCTCACCACCTCCTCCTCATGGACGTGGTCCAGCTGGAAAAGAAGTTGTCCCCATATCTGTTTCCTTTTTTGATTTGCAGAGAGAAACTAACACGACAGCTGTTGCCAACCTCTATCCTTATAGATTGTGAGATGGTTTCTAGAGAACCATGTTCCTGGCGTAGAAATGATTGATTGTGCTGGGCTTTGTTTGGTTTTACATTCCAGGCTCTCTGCTCCCTCCTCTCCCTGTGAGAGCTGCAGCTGAGGGGAGACAGAAAAGCTCTGTAGGAGGCTTGGGGGTGTCTACAGAGAAGAAGGGCAGGGAGCCAGAGGCTGAGACAAACAGCCCCAAGCTTCTTGAGCACTGACTCTGTTGCAAGCTCACTTTTTTGGAAAACAGAAAATAAAAAAGAGGAAGAGTTGGCAGCATCATTCACTCAGCTGTGTTCTGGGGGAAACCAGAGCTCATCCAAACAATGCAAGGGTTGTTGGGGGATTTTTTTGTTGGATGAGACGTTGTATTTGATGGCCAGCTGAGCTCTTCAGTCTGTCTGAAGCATTGCCCTGGAATTCTGCTGTGTTTTGGTTGCAAATATGGAAGGATGCACAGTTTTGAGGTGTTTCATGTTTCCTGGATTGCAAAGCAACTGGTTTCCCAAGAGAACCATCAGCCAAAGATGTGGCATCAACCTCATGTTTTGTACTGACAACGCTTAAGCCTGGTGCCTGAATTTCAATATTTAACTTAATGGACAGGAGGGGAATGAAGAAAATGAAGGAGGTGACACCACCAAGCTTGCAGGGACAAGAAGATGCTGATGCCCATTGATCTGAGCATTCTGGTGAGCCATGCCTGTGGATGACAGATGTCAAGAGGGCCAAATGTGAACTTGCCAGCAGAAAAGGTGGTTGATTTTTCTCTCTTCAAAGACAACCATAAAAAGGAAGGAAAGCTACGATGGAAAAGGGGAAGGGAAAGACTTTTTAAAATCAAAAGGAAGGAAGAGATGTCCAGCTGCTAAGGGCAGGGGCTGGCAGCAGTGGGAGGGGCTGTGATGGCCATGCTGCAACCTGATGTCATAAGCACATGTTCCATGAATACCTTGCACAGATGGAAGACACTTCTTCCCTACAATCCATTTAGACTTTCAAAACACTCCAGGAAAGTTGGGCTCCAGGCCAAGGCTGTTACTGTCTTTACCACCAGGCAAGCTGGCACAGGAAAGGGGAAGCAGAAGGAGCAATTTATAGCTCAACCAGTTTCTCTGGACCTGAGAAGGCAAAGACCTGGTGAGTGAGACCAGCTGGTGGGGAGGGAAGGAGTCAAGGGCTGAGACAAGGCCACTGAACCTGGTGGCATGCAAGGGACCAGGATGGGCAGAGCAAAGAAGGGAGATCCAACCTCCTCCAGATCTTTTATTTAGGGCAGCAGAGCAGAAGTTGCTGCAGGGTCTGAAGGGAAAGGTGTTCTGCTCAAAGCCCAGCTGAGTCCAGCAAAAACTACAGAGGACTCTCTTTTGTGGCCTTCCACTTCTGCACTGGGATCCCCAGCAATTGGACAATCTTTAAAAAGCTGCTTGGTTCTGCTTAGAGGGACTTCCTCCTGCTGGCAGATTCCTGCATACATCATGTCCCTGGGTAGGCCCTTGTCACCTCCCTAGCTCCTCCCCTCCTCTTCACCTTCACCTTCATGAAATGCTGCACCCAAACAGATGTTGCCTCAAGAAGACAAAATGTACACAAAGGTTCCTAGGTCTCCTTGTCTGCAAATGTAGAGGAAGCCTTTCATTTCTTGAGATTTCTGGATGCCAGAGCAGCAGATCACACCAGGGTGACACTGGCTGAAGTGTAGTAAGGACTTCATCGGATTTACTGATTTCATGTCAGCCCTACCAGGACCCACTGGTTCCCACAGTCACAGAACCACAGAATCATTCTGGTTGGAAAACATGATCAAGTCTAACCATAATCTAACTGTACTGGGTCCAGTGCTGAGCTGTGTCTCTCAGCACCACATCTACACGTTTATTAAATCTCTCCAGGAATGGTGGTTCAGCCTCTGCCCTGGGCAGCCTGTTCCAGTGCTTGACAATCCTTTCAGTGATGACGTTTCTTCAACTTGAGACCATTTCCTCTTGTCCTATCACTTGTTCCTTGGTAGAAGACACTGACCCCTGCCTCACTACAGCCTCCTTTCAGGTAGCTGTAGAGAGGGAGAAGGTCTCTCTTCATCCTCTCTTGCTCCAGCCTAAACATCCCCAGTTCCCTCATCTATTCCTGGTAAGACTTGTTCTCCAGACCCTTCACCATCTTCCTTGCCCTTCTCTGGACACACTCCAGCCCCTCAATGTCCTTCTTGTAGTGAGAGGCCCAAAACTCAACCCAGAATTTGAGAAGCAGCCTCACCAGTGCCAAGTACAGGAGGACCATTGCTGTCCTAGCTCTGCTGGCCACACTATTACTGATACAAACAAGGATGCTCTTGCCATTCTTGGCCACCTGTGCACACACTGGCTCATATTCATCCGACTGTGGACCAACACCTCCAGGTCCTTCTCTCCAGGCAGCTTTCCAGCCACTCCACCCCAAGTCCTGAATGAGGAGCTGAAGGTCTCTGAGTGTATGTAGTGGTAGGATTGGAGGTGCCACATCTTTGTAGAGCTGGGATGATGGTTGGACTCAGTGATCCTAAGGGTCTTTTCCAACCTGAATAGTTCTATGATTCTATGATTCTATGATTTGTTTTACAATCTTTACAATCAGCTTTGAGTTGCACAGCCAGAGTCAGGACATGATTTTGCTTCCAGGCTGCAGTACATGAGGAGTGAGAGGGAAGAAGGGTGTGGAGACACCAACCACATCTGACACAGGAGTAACAGAGACAGTTTTCTACTGCAGATGTTCATGAGATTAGCACAGACCAGCCAACTAAGACATCAAAACCAAGAGCATTAAAATGAAGCAGAGCATAGGAGTAGGCAAATAAATGGTGGTGTTTTCAAAATGAACAAGCACATCAGCAAGGGTTACCAGCCAAACCAAGGGGCATGCAGGCACGGAGGCACTGGGAAAAGACATCTTTGGCATCTATGATAGCTATCAAACCCAGCCTGTTTCACCTGCTCCTGTTTCTTTTCAATAGGGAGTTCTGGGTGGTTCAGAAGCCTGGATACCACCAAACTCACCATCCACCA